ATCAGCGTTTCAGAATCTAGAGAAATACAACTTCGGTTGCATTTGTCCTGTTTTATACTCATAACTACGGTTCATAGATTTATAAACTATCGGCAAAAACATTAATGAATTATTTATTAAGAAGCCAGAACTTATAATGATTCACTGCCTAAGATCTACCCAAAAGATGATACGAAAGCAGCAATTCCTAAGAATGATGGGGACAATTGTCATTCGCCACTCACAAGAGTTCGAGCACCAGTAAAGATGCTCAACAAGTATTTTTTCAAGAGAAATTAAGTGGAGAAGCCGATACGACTTTTGCTAATTAGCGCTGTTTTAAATATCCGTGGCTGACGATAGATATCTTATCAAATTTACTCTGACGACACTTTCAAATTATATTAACAGAAAATCAATAGAAAAATCGTCGCATCTTTGTTTGCTTTTCATGTTGCTCCAATGTCGCTTTAAGTTTTCGATAGAACGACCATGAGCGTCCGCCGCATCAGCCGCAGTCCCCCGCAGTCTCAAGCTGACATTGACGCGTGCGAGAACTCCCCGCTTCTTCGACCTAATAGTATTTCTTTAAACTACAATTCTGACTCGGCCGTATACGACCGTAAAGAGGAGGGAAATGGAAATGGATCACACCGCTTTTTTGGAGCCGACGAAGACCGCAGTTGCAGCGACAGCGACGATGATTTAGATTTCATTGATTTGGACCACCAGTTTTCTCCGACTAGTTACCGTCAGCAGTCGTCAGATACCTCTCGTCTGATTCCACGGGCGAATTGGCATGGACTTGGAATGCACAGTAAATTTAAACGCGGACCTCCGAAGCCACTGCCGGCTCCCGGTACAGTGAGTCATACGACACGACGTTCAAGGATGAGGACTATAAAGAAACAGCTGAGAGAACCACCCAGTGCTCCTAAGCTTCGGGTGTCTGCCTATTGCACATGCGACCAACTACAGCTATTTAAATTGCTTAAGTGGCTTGAAAGAGTCGAAACAGGTCAATTGCCAGGAGGAGAATTGCATTCCGACGGATGGAAACACAAGATGTATATGGGTGCAATCCATTCCAGCTGTGCACCTGCCACAGATCATGAGTAAAGTGGTTTTTGCTGGAAAACAGAGACAAGAGATTGTGACCTATGCTTTGATTGTTATGGTTTTTGAGTATAGAGACGGATCGCCGGTCTCATATCAGCAAAAGGATGCTTTTTACTTTGCGTGCGTTGGTGCTTAAAGTGCTTAAGATTCGCTCTATACACAAGTCGTCGATAAATCATGCTTAAATGTGTTGCAGGACAGGGTGTGCAGTTTTCTGGGGACTGACAAGAGCAGAGGAACAGGCACATCTTGTGGCATTAGGGGCATTTTCGGTAGGGCCAGTCAAACAGGTTGAGGTTGAAGATATGGACTACACGTATGGAGACGCAAGTTTAATATGTAACGACGCAATTACATTAAGAAGTAATCGTGCGTCCGAAAAGTTGGCGATATCCTTTGCGATGGCTCAATCCTCAAAATTAGATGTGTTCGAGGAGCGTGTGGAGGAAACTATTCGTGCGACAAAACACGTTCCGCAGAATCTTGCAGCCACGGGCTCGATCCAATATTCACAGAGTGATATCTCAAAGCTCATTGGTCGTCTCTTCATCGAGGTGAGCAACGTCTGAACCTGATTTGATCATTGTAAGAGTAATCCAAATGTCTGTAACTTGTACTGTCAGCGGAGTGACGTGAATTTAAATTCTGACATGCTGGACGAGCCGGACTTTTTTTGGGAAGACGACGAGTATGAGCCTTTGTACAAAAAGGTGATGAAGTATTTGAGTGTGGACAACCGAGTTCAGATTCTCAACACACGTTTAGATATCCTTCGCGAGCTGTACGTGTCTGCTTGAAACTTAATGATGTATCTGCGAGTTTTTGCGAAGAGCTAAATTATGCTGTATTAATTCTTTGACTGATACAGGCTGGATGTATTAAGCCAACAACTCGCGCATCAGCACGACACAAAGCTAGAGATGATTGTTATATGGCTTATTGTTGCCGAGGTTGCCGTGCAAGTAGTGTGGAATATTCTCATCAAAGATATTCTTGGATATTTTCCTCACTCAGACACGACAGATTAGATGCACAACAATACTGGTTTTCTCTATGTACATGGACAATCGACACGAGAAAGTGAAGAAGCCATTGTGCAATGTTAGCGCAAATCTATGATCTGGTCGAAGCATTTGTTGCTCTAAAGATAAAACTTCTAATAGACTTCATTTGAACTTCATCATTTCATTTATTTCGACAAAAGACAAGCAAAGCGGTCAGTCGCCTTAGTTTGCTTGCGTCGCACTTGCTGCATCTGTGCAACCACGCGGCTCGCTCTACGACTGCGACTGCGAATGTTTACAGATAGAAGTGCATCCTTTATAGCCTTTTCAGCTTTCATACTTGAGGCACTGGAAGCCTGACGGCATATATCTTTCCGAGCCAAGTATTCTCGTGCCAGACGCTGAATCTGCGTCGCAGCATCCCAACGCCGGCGTTGTTTTCTCGCCTCAGCCTCCAGCTTGAGCACTCTTTGTTGGCATTTAACCTCTTGCAATTTGAGCAAATATTCCGTAGCGCGTCGACGAGAAAGATAGTTGAGATAACATTGCTCAATCTTGGTCACATACCCCATACGTTTTCTCAGTCGTCTTGCTTCCACCACTTCCTTCGCAACACGAACTCGTGCATGTGATCGAGTTGCTCGCTGGATAATCAACGCCGCTTCGTGATTGCGTTGCTGCTTCTTTATCGCAAGAGAATAACGTGTGAGATATCCTCGCATTCTAGCCTGAAGTTGGACCACAGCCTTTCGAAACATCTTCATTTCAAGCCGTCGCTTTTCCCTATCAACACGACGAATTTCCTTCCTTTCCTCAACAGTGCGCTGCAGTTCTGCATGTTTTACTTGCATTTGTAAGCAGCGTACCGCTATCTTTTCCTGCCATTGTTCAGCACGTCGCTTACGGTTGTCAAGTGACAAAAGACTGCTATCGGTATAATTACCAGCAATAAAGTCTTTCGTAAAGCCTGCAGGCCGGCTGTATTTCGGACAACTGAGTGCTACATCCTCAAAGTCTAGATAACGGCCATAGTCACAGGTTGATGTAGTGCGGTAGAGTGGGTGACCTGGTGTACGAGTCAAAATTTCCAACTTGCTTAACGACCGGATCTCGCGCGCGGCAGGCAAGCCGCCACCAACACATAATCGTGGAGGATTCACTCGATCAGTGGTATTCCTACTTTCACTGCCAGAGCGCGATGCTGTCGCCAAGCCGTAAGTTTTGAGGGCAAGCATTGCAAGCAGCAGGCTCTGAAGGAGTCCATGAGATAATTTTATCGTTTTTTTTCACAGCTAAAATGGGAGCTCTCGGTAAAGAAAAGGAAAAGTTTTGGGTTTGTCATTTGTTCTCGATTCTAAAAAATGATTTATAGGAGCACGACACGACTGCGAGCTCTACTCAACCTTGTCTTTGCAGACGCTTGTTTCCAGCTCATATTGACGCAAACGTACGAATGTACTCACTATAGTATCTAGAGGTTCTTCATCTGGGTTTTCTGTGCACCTTCGTACAGAGAAAGCTCTGAATCAAAGAGTTCGTTGATGACCGCACGAAGGAGAAGATCGTTCGCTCCATGAAAGAGCGGAACCGAGAGGTTCTCAAGTAACTTGGTACTTATTTATTTTAATTCAAATTACTTCTGTTTACTATGGTCAATATTAAAATTAGATGCTTCCCCGCCGACACGAAAATCCCGTCGTCCTCACCAGTATCTGTGAGTTGATACCTCTGGATCGTACACAATTTCACTCAAGTGGGATGCGTACTTACAGACTAACACGAGCCATGCCTTCTCCCAACAAGATTAAGTGATTGCTACGCGAGCACCCATTGCACTGAAAGGTGTACTCCACTACTCGCATCTTACACTATGTGCAGCGGGGCTGCCGTAGCTTAGCGTTTGAGGAAGTATTATTTAGGTCACCGACCTTTCGTTCTATACTTGGAACAAGCGGATCGCAATCCGCTTGCTCCAAGAGTAATTATTGCTTTCCCAAGGCCAATTGACTTTTCGTTATTTAATATAAGTTTAGATTTTCCTAAATA